CCAGCCCCGCCCCAGCCCCGCCTCACCTGGTCTGTCCTTTGACCTCCGTGAGGTCGCCCACACTGACTGTCACGAAGATGCCGGTGTTGAGGTCCCATGCCACCTTGAGGCTGGTGTGATAGGTCTTTGGTCTGCAGGAGGAAGGAGATGGGACCGTGGGGTCCCTGAGCTGGGGCCCGGGCCACCCGCACGGGCTCTGTCTTTGGAGCAGTAACGGAGGGACCGATGCAGGTGGTGGGGACAGGGGGAGTCTTCGCATAACCCCCCGCCACTGAAGGTCCCGGCGCGGCCCCCGCTCACCGGAGCTGGCCCTCCTCGCTGGGGGCCGGGAAGGCCAGGAGCAGCAGCCCAATGTTGATGAGCACCTGGTTCGTTTCCGGGCAGACCTGGGGGCAGGGTGGACGGCGACAGCTCCTGAGGGTGACCCCCAGACAGGGGGGGCCTGGGCCGCCCCGTCCACCCAGGGCCCACCTCCAGGATGACGATGTCGTAGTCGCTGAAGGAGCAGAACTGGTGGCCCCAGGTGGCGTCGTGGCGGATGACCTCGTTGATGACGTACTCGAAGTCCAGCGTGAGCTGCTCTACCGTCAGGTACTGACCCTGCGGGCAGGGGCGAGGCAGGGGAGGATGCGCCGCTGCTGCCTCGCCCCGCAGGCGCCCAGGCCGCCCCTCGTCTGCGCCGCGCCCGCACCCACCTGCATGGCGGCCCGCTCCCGCATGGGCCGCAGGTTGCGGCCGCGGAGGTCGGTCACCACGAAGGGCAGGGAGATCTTGTCGTCCTCGAATTCTGAGGGGGCAGGACGTGGGGGTAGGGCCGGCGGGAAGCCCAAGAGGCCCCTCCGGCCAGCCCGCACCCCGGGACCCCGCCTGCCGGGTGGGCTCCCCGCTCACCGTCCTCTGGCTCCGTCCCCTCGCCGGACCCCAGCACGTAGTAGAGCTTGGTGTAGTTGACGTAGCCGGGCTCGGGAGCGGGCACCTCTGCTGCGGGGGGGCTGTCCCGGGGCGCCGCCTCCCCGCTGGGGGCCAGGGGCTCAGAGGGCAGGCGGAGGCGGCTGCCCGAGGGCCCTGGGCAGGGGGGCGGCCGGGCTTCCTCCGGGGTCCCCCCCTTGGCCTCTTTGGCCCTGCGGAAGATGTCGGCCACAAACTCCTTGGCTTTGGCGATGGCGGGCGAGGGCTCGGGGGCCCCAGAGGGCTGGGCGGGGGCTGCCTCGGGGCCGAGGCTGGGGAGGGCAGGGGGCGCCTCTGGGCTCCGGGGCCCGGGGGGACTGGGAGGGGCCGGGGGGTAGGTGGTGTGGTCATACAGGATTTGGCAGAAGCTGCTATCACCTGCAAGGCAAGAAGTGATGGCGGGGAGAGGGTCAATACACGCGTTCAAGTCCGGGACGCTCTCCCGGCCTCCCTCACTGCCCAGGGGTTCTCAGAAATGCACCTCGAGGAGACCCTTCTAGAAGACTTACCTGTGCTGAGATCAGTCTGAAACACGCAGAAGGGAAGAGGCCTTTTGCGCGCGCAGACACACACTCAAACGCACATTCACTCAACCTTATTCTTGAGTATCTACAGTATGCCATACACTGAGGACACAGAGCCCCTGCCCCTGGGGAGCTGACAGCCCGCGCTGACGACAGATGAGAGCTCCTCAGTGGAGTCTGGGCGTTCACTACACAGCCCCCCCGTCCTCCCAACAAGAGCCAGGCCCTCACGGGTACAGCGGGCAAGTCCTGGGCCCATCTACGTCTGCCCGCCGAGGAACCAGAACCCTCTGGGAATGTGGGGTCAGTGTGGAGAAGCCCCAGGCTCTGCCCACACTGCCACCCGTGGCCCCCACAGGCAACCTGGGAGAGGGGGACTGTGTCCTCCCAGTTCAGACCCAGGACCAAGGCTCAGAGAGAAACGTGTTCAAGGTCACACTGTGAGATAAGGCGAGGCCACCAGTGCATTCCTGTCTGCCAGTGGTGGCACTTCCAGGGGGGAGGGGGTGAGAGGGCAAATCTGACTCAAAATCCTCGCTCTGTGTAAACACCTTCCTACGGAGAGATGGGTGTTACACATGCTGACAATGCCCCTCCCTGGGCAGGGGGCACAGGCCAAATCCTGTCCCCTCTGGTCTTTCCTAACAGGACCCACAGCCGAGAGGGCAGGGGGTGTTGGCCCTGCCCAGGCCTGGCACTCGGGGGGCACCCGGCTCAGCGAGGGGCAGGGCCTCACCCGCGCTGGCGCAGGCGGCCAGAGCAGGGGCAGGAGGGGCGGGGCCCTTGCCGATTTGTGGGCTAAGTTATATACGTTCAATCCTCTCTCCCAGCCTGGTGCCTTCCT